TTCCAATATGTTTCCTACCTTTTAACTATCGAAAGAATTTAGATTTCGAAAGAGCAACGTTCCTAATAGGACCTCGAGTTGAGCCGTAAGTACCATGAGGACTTGAGTTTTGAACAGTAATACTGTCGGGGCACACAATAATTTGAGACTAGATAGAATAATGACACATTTTTTAATAACCTAATTATTATAATATAGATATCTTGAAAGATCTTGAAAAATTCGATTTCATTGCTATTGGCCAATACGCTAAGACTACGCAAAGCAGTAGAGGTTGATCGGTTACGCTTTTGGTGTACTAATCTTGCAAACTAGTTTTCCAATTTTTATGGCAGCGAATATACGATATAATCCGTAAATGCCCTGAAATATCTAAATAATATTTGGCGTAAGATATCTTGCTCTTTTACACACTGAGAGAAATATGAATACACGTTCTAGAATCTATAAAAATGACAAAATTGTATATCTGAAGACAATACAAATAATCAAAATTACAGTATGTTTTTAGCGTGCGTCACTCATCAAATACTAGGAGGGTTTATAACAATGACTGCAGACTAGAGTATATTAATCGGTAAAAATGAGCGAGGTGATTATTCTATTAACGTCCCACGCAAATTAAAATCGTTTACGTATATAGTATGTGTCGGACGATAGTAGGACAGAAGGAGAAGAGTAACAAAGTTTGATCGTGTCGTTTGATGTCAAAAAAGAAACGCGCGTCGTAAACATCGCCCTTAATCTCCATATTTACGAAACCTCAACTACCATTTCGCGATGTGCAACCACAAATATCTACGTTAATTGAATACTCTACCGCGACTCATAATGGATAGTTTAAGAAGAAGCACACTTACCGATCTGAAATCATCCCTGCCAAAGGCAGACCAGCGAGTTGTCCAAGGCTGTTCGCAGTGCCTACCATTGCTCGCTTCCAGGAGTCGTCGCACACCAGCTCCCACTGCGGAGAGAGAAGAGAATGCGCTTAAGTACCGGCAGCTACATCGGTGCTATCAGGCCTGGACAGACTAGGCGATTGGCTGGGACACAAAGTCAGGATGGAGTGAAAAAAATATTCACGAAATAATAATACTAATAATAATAATAATAAATAATAATAATAATAATAATAATAATAATAATAATAATAATAATAATAATAATAATAATAATAATAATAATGGTTTGAATATAGTAAAAGAGCGAAAGAAAATATAATTACAAAAATAATTTCAGAGTGGTATCCTGTGGGTAAGAAGAAGAAAAGAGAAAGACCTAAAAAATGTTTAATCGATGGTTCACATTCTTCCAGCTCTTGCTCAATTTCATTTAATCCATTATTAATAGTATTGTTGCCAACCTGTTGGGATTAGGCTAATCTTTCTTTTTATCTTTGCACAGGACGAATAGCCATGCTGCTTTCAACTATTTAGATACGTGGTTTCGGATATGGAGCAGCCATAATGGTAGTTACCTCTACATCTTTTGCACTTAATTTGTTCCTCATCCCTTGCTTTCAAGTAATGTATTGCACTTCATTTCTGTAGTACTTCAATTTTCGACACGTTAAAACTTTGCTCACAACTTATAAAAAACACTAAATCACTGTATTTCACTTGCACCACTGTATCCTGCGTCCGTCTACCACTCCCTCTATATTAATATTAATATTAATATTAATAATTATATTAATAATAATAATAATTATTATTATAATTCGAGAAAGTATGTATAAATTGTTCAATTTTTTGGAGAAGGAACGCATTCTACTGTTGCCATGGCCTTCAGGCTCCCGCCATGACTCCCGCTCGAATACGCATCCATTGAGAGAAGTAGTTACTGTGCAACATAGTACATAGCAAGCGGTTAGATGGGTATGTACAGGTAATACATATTTTCATTTCATGATCTCTTGAGTGAAGTCAACTGGCACTACAGAATAATACTTCTTTTCTTATATTCACCATAAGGAAGGCGTAAGATTGTTCACAAATTCGAATAGTTTTTTCTAATGTCTTCCTGTCATTTCATTGCTATACTTGTATTTGTATTTAGCCATTATATGTCCCACAAAGGGCAATTGGCCTCAGCGCCGTTAGATCCAGAGGTTCCTGGTTGGTCACCTAATCAGGAATTCGCTTAACCTTCGTGACTTCACATAGTTAACGAATTGCGCTAAATATGCCGATTTTGCAGTAACGACCTTTCATTGAACCATCTTAGCATTCGACTGAATAACCCAGGCAAATCACGAAAACTCCGGTCAGGATGGCCGGCACAGGGTTCGAACCCGGACTTCTCCAATGCGAAGTCAACGCACTACGCCCTGAGCCACTTTGCTCTGTGATAAATTAAAAGTAATAATCAATTAACAATAAAGAAATTCCAGAGGAATAGATGATAAAACTGGAATCTCTTTGACGTGCCCCAGAAATCGAATCATTTGTGTCAACATAAAAATTGTATTTACAACAGTAGAAAAGAAAATCTTATTTGAAACTCTGCGATAATCCACAAATGGTTATTTTCGGAGCGATCCAATGCACAAGAGAATATCGTCGCGACAATGTGTGACTTCCTAAACGTGACGGCGCATGCGCGATATGAGTGGCGAAGTGAATAATGTACGGGGTTACAACAGGGAATCTCAGGGTTTTTCATAGCGTGTCGTAAAATCAATTTGTTGCGCTTTCGAGGCCGTTATAAAATCTGTAGAGATTAAAGTGTTAAAGGCGTTTTGCACAATATTCTTTTTCGTTTCACCACGATCATGAAAGAAATTGCGAACTGTGATGTCAGTGACGTCAGTCATTAACGCTACGAGCGCTAGTATATTCCCATGATACCACATTATTTTCATTGGCATTGTTTGTCTTGAGCTGTCCACCAATATAATATTGCAACAAGATAATATAAAAACACTTCCACCGCCACAGTTTATAAAACAAATTAATTTATCGTAGCGAATACTGAACACTGGTAAACAAAACCGCGAGCAGAGGGCGAGTACAAGGTGGACCTGAACAGAGGTGCGAGAAGAGAGTGGGATGCAAGGGTCCCATAGCCGTATCATAAACCATTTTATTTTCGGAAATATTTTCAATCCCTGATTTTCCCATTTTTAATTCTACAATTAGGGATTTAAAGAAAGTATTTATATTAGGTCGTTTCAGAAGCAGCTGAGGTCGTTAGCGACAACTATTATTTTATGCCAAACAACGTTAGCTAGCCGACGAAGTCGGACAACCGAATCAAAATGCCGAATACATCAAGTAAAAACATTTTGCGCTACACTTACGGAACTAATGATCTAAGCCAAATAAAGTCGTAGGCTTCCGCGGCCAGAGTCATGTGGGTGATCTGGCCTGTCCGGGCGACGCCGCGTCGAAGGCTGAGTTGCCGACGTTTCGACCATGGACGTTTCGACGACAGGATGGTCGAAACGTCGGCATCTCAGCCTTCGACGCGGCGTAACCCGGACAGCCCAGATCACCCAAATGATCTAAGCCCTTGACAGGCCCGGAATCACTAGTAACCAATCATCTAATATTTACCTCTGCTTGAGGAATATTCCAATCATGGGTATGTACCTCGTTTACGATGGTGCTCACTGATTCGTCGAAGACGTACTTCTCGCACGAAATCGATCGGTCGGAGAAGTGTGCCGCAGAGCAGGCTGTGGATTGGGAGGCGTTTGGAGAGGAGGCGTTCACGGGAGGGGGCTTGGGTGTGGAGTCGGCTGGGCGAAACCGCGAACACTCGCGGAGAATGCTCTCATCGCGTACCGTTGTGTAGCCCACTGCGAAGGGCAACCAGGACTGCCCAGCGTCGTAGATGGCGCTAGAGGCACTTTCGCATTCCGGCACCAAGCATCTATGCACAAATAATAATAATAATAATAATAATAACAAAATAATAACTAATGGTTCTACAGAAAGGCACAGACTTTTTCGTACTAGTTAGTTTTCTAAATTATATTGTCAGGGCTAGCTTTATGGTCTTGAGCCATCCTCTTGCCATCTATCGCCTCCCAAAGATTTGCCCTGAGGAAGGTCGCAGAATGGCGACCGAAACGTCTGCACCTTTGCCATGGACGCGGCGTCACTGGGACAGCCAATTAAATACTCAATTTTTGGGTTTTATAATGGTAGAACAGAAATATTACTTTTAAAATATTATAGAAAAGTAAAATCTCTTCCTAAATGAAAATTTTTGTTGAAAAAATTGAAGCTATTTTTCAGAAAATGTCGTTTAAGCATTACTGTAAATGCAAAATTTGACGCTCTTTTCACAGAAAATTCTTGAGTTTCCTACGAGTAGAAAATCCATTGGAAATGATTTGATGCACTTCTTATCACCAACGTAACAATGTGTAGAAATTGCTGTTAACGGTGAGAGAGATCTTTAAAAAAGTATATTTGCTTTAGTTTTGCAAAAACAAAAGAATACAGGAAAATAAATTTTATGTCAACTTACATAAAGCATGTAGAACTATTCGCACAAAAAGGTTTAAGAAAAAACTTGCAGATGTTTATGAGAAAATGGGTTTGAGCGTTTCTGAAAATGCGGACTTGTGAGCGCATTTTTCACAGAAAATGAGCTGAAATGCAGTTTGTAATACTATTCGTTCACGCGCGAGTACACTTGGAGGAATAAATTTATGGGGGGCAAACAGGATGCAACAAAATAAAGGCTTTCCAAGAAAACATTGAGAAATTACACACGCCAAATTATTTTAGGGTAAATTCGCATAAAATGCGTTGGTAATTATGCGTGGGACGGACTCAAATATGTTTTATGTTAATGGGAGGTGCCGAAAGCTTGAGCTTTGTCCTCAAGTTAGAATTCATTGCGAAGTGTCACTTTCCGCAGGAATAAGCATTGGCTGCGCATATCCTGGTTGAAAATACGCGTGAGAATTCTACTGTGCTTATTCTGGTTAAAAATTATTCCCATAAATTATACTGGGACCGCAGTATCCTGACAGGCAGGACAATCCATCACAACAGTACCGATGCTACCCTCTGGAACACATCTACCAATGAAATTTGGTTTATTCATTTTACAGCCGGCAATACTAGCAACAAAAATTGATTAATAAGGTAGGCTAGAATTTGATGTGAAATAACAATGGAGTGCTTCAGAAGTGGAAACAGTTCCGATTGTACTGTCAGCAATTGATGAAACATCGGAAACTCTCAGCAGACCGTTGGAAGAGCTGGGAATGGAGAAGAGTAAATAAATTTAAATCATTAGTAAGCCAGGAGGAGTTCACGTCCGTCGCCGCTGAAGATCTCCTCTGCAGGTTCAGAAGAAAAATCTGAGGCAAAAATTAATTCAACTGAACCACGGCCTTTTGTCTCGGTTAGCAATTTCAACATTTCTCTATACTATGTCATCCAAAAAGTAAAAATATAAGAAATTATAATTCACATTGAAGTTATTTTTGCGCCAACCCATGAAATCAGTAAGGGTAAACTGAAGAAAATCAGGAAGCAAGGGGAGCTTTAAGTGCTATTAAAAGATATCTGAAAGTTGAAGAAAGTCCTACGTGGCCTTTGCTTTCAGAGAAAGAGGTGTCAACGAGATTAAAAAAGAATTGGAAAATGTTGAACCTGGCGACACTAATGGGCAGATGCAGGATGCCCAGTTTGCACTAAGAAAAAATGAATACGATGTTGAAAAAGAATGCGATCGGAAATAATAGCACACCATGTCTAAGGTTTGCAGTGTAGGTATATACTACAGATTTATAAGACCATTTGGAAATAATATCTTTACAGGCTGTGTAAGTTTAATTGAAAATTTCACATAAACAATTTTTGTCATTAAAATACCAAGAATGTTAATATTCCTCTATGTTCAATCCAATAAATCTTGAAAATTGACACACAAATAATCCAAAAAACATACTCTTGACATAATTATGTTGTACAATGTAGCTTTATGACTAACCTGTGATCGACTACATCAGCCGCAAAGACGTATGACAACGCAGAAACAGCAGAATACACAACTGGCAAGCATGTGAGGATAAAATTTATTACTTGAAATTTTCCAACAGTTCCCAGCTCCCTAATTAGATCTTCAAGAGTAACTTCCGAAGAAGTCGGTCGTTCCATAATATTATAAAGGTTCGATTAATGCTTTACATTATTCATGAAGTCTAATTTATTATTCATTTTGAAAGATACTTTTTATTCCAAGAAAGAGTTAAATGCAGAAACTCTTTCCAAGGTAACAAACCAATTATTACAAGTTCAGATCTCCTTCCGCTTGGTTACTATTGTTAAGTGTTGGCAGTGTAGAACCGAGGTAATGATTACAATTCAGATTAGATTTTCACCATGAAATGCTTCGTAAAAGTGCATGCCTCGTACAATGTACCATTAGTTCCTAACATTATTACATTCAACCACGACTAAAACATTGTCCTTACAGCTCTTCTCCAATTTCTAATTTCGCCTGTGAAATGAAAGGAATAAAAGTGGTTTTGATCCTCGAGAGAGAAGTAGAATATTGAAAATAACTTTACTACCCCACAAAACCTGTTAGAAAATGCGGTGTCACTCGTTTCAAACAACCTGTATGCACCGTCACTCGCATATTTCCAAAATGCATAACTGTTTATTGATTATATTCACAATTGAGAGAACCTTATTTTGAAAATAACTCTTCACAATATCATCTTAGGCGTGCATGGGGGGAGGGCACAATGGCCCACCCAGCCCTTGAATTTTTCGCAAGGACTCCTGTCATAATAAGCATTTTATTCCCATAAATTATGAATAATTCCTTATTTCCTCCTTTCTACGCTGATAATTTGGATACTTGAAAAACTTTGGGGAGAAGTTCTCTGAACTCTGGCCATTCTTGCTTCTGCCTATCAATGGATCAACTTCAAATCAATTGTATTTATTAATTGTGTAGTTGTGTTGTATGTTTTCATTCTCTTTGTAAGGCTTATTTATTTACGATTAAAATATGTATGTAAATAAAAAATGTCGTGGAATAGAGGGATCGGAGAGATTCGGAAATGCAGCTGTCCCCTACGCTTGTTTTAGGGTGCGCACACCCACGAATATCACTTAGCCTATTCATTCAAGATGCTTTTAATAAGATTTTTCTTTAATAATGTCTATTAATTTCGATTCTATGCTTCAATCTTTCACTTTGTGGACATGCAGTGAATCCTTTTTTAAGGGGTTCCGGTAAAAATGGGCATTAATAGAGTTAGCCGCTTAATCAAGATTATTCGAAGGTTCGACAGAAATTGTACGGACGTCTCGCATTATTAATTTCAGCAGTGAATGTTAATAACCTTCGTTTTTTTAGTATATCCATGTGCTAATTGCAAACGATTAAAATTACTTTAAATTTATTCAAATACGCTCGCCAAATAAATCCTAAACGTTACCGACAGCCACAATTAGTTGGCGATGCTGGCTGCACCAAACAATAATGTCTGGGGAGAATTTTTAAGGAAAAGAAGGAAGTATAAGCGAAAAAATTTCTGACAAACCGAACAAATGGCGTCGTGGATAACGGATAGATGCGAATTTCCTGTTCTAATTTTAATTGTATGTACGAATGTACTAAAGAAATCTCGTATGTAATCTCGAATGTACTAAAGAAAAGTTGTCAATATGTTCTTCGTAATCTAAAAGATTCAATTAATTTCTTATTTCCACCTATTTAATCTGTCTTGTAATCAATTATATATTGTGAAGAAATTAAACGATGTTGACAACAATCCCCAGAACAATTGCACATTAAGGTAATGGAATCAGTTATGGTTACGAAATTTGTCTGTTTATAAACATGAACTCTTAATTCCTGTGCAATATATAATAGATTCAATTAATATTAGATTGAATTGCATTGATGATAAAATATTTCCAACAATTTATGTATCATAACTTTTTTTTTTCTAAATTTATGTTGTCTTTGATTTATGTCTGAATAAATGGAATTATTTCTAATAATATTGAAAAATTAAATATCAGTGTTGCATAACACCTAACTAATGCCACCTTATCCCTACATAACACAGATTAACATTGCCTCACTCCCTCCCTAGTGTTACTCAATTAACAAATGCCCCCTTTGCAAGTTTTCACAGGACACAAGCAAGCAAAGTTGACTTAGATGCTGCAGAATAAGTGAATTGAACTGTTTGTTATTTCATAAAGACACATTAATGAAATCTTCAGTGGATAAGTGAAACAATTGTTGTCCTGAGACACAAGCGATTATATTTTACTTTTCCAAGTAATCTGATATTGCATACCTTTGCAAAAAGGTACTGAATCAACATAATATTTACAACTTGTCAGTGTCTTATTTTATTACTGTTCTAAATTACCTATGTTCAAAATCACCAGCACCTCTAAATACAGATCAAACTATGAAATGTGCCTGGCTGCTGGCCAAGGGGCCAAGTGGCTGCTTAAAGAGAATATTTGCATCTGTCTAGGAAAAGATTCAATCATTTCCATTAAAAAATTACCTTTAATAAAGATGTCCAGTTAATTGAGGTGGGCATTGAAGGAGGTTCCAGTGAGTACTCAATTAAAATGTTTGCTCTTTTTTACTAATGTGTTTCTTTAAAATGAGACACTCATCATGGAGATATGGGAGGACGATGACTATTATTTAGCAGTTACACATTTCAAAATTTAAAAATAAAGTGAAATAAAAAAAGATATTAACACTCACCATCTGCATGGAAGTAGATTTTCTGAAAAATATGGAGATAACAAATTAGGAGAATTAATAAGATTTAGTAGAGTATCTTTTAAAGTTTACTATCTCAAAATAAATACAAATATACAAGACTGTGATATATTAAGTACAGTTCATTGATAATGCACTAATGATGTATGTATGATTATGACTATGAAAATTACAGAGATAAAGTAGCTTTGGATGAAATACGAGACATTCCTCACTCTCATAGAAAGAACATTTCTTACATTTGTACTAATTTAACGAGTAATAAGGCATCTCTTTTAATATCACGGACAATATAATACTGTCCCATACAATATCAATTTCTTTTCACATTTCTAGCAAAGGCAATCAAAACACATTTTATATCACATGATTGCTTGACTACAACAAATTTATTATTCTGAGCCTTGGTTATGCTATGAAATTGCTCAAGAACCTAAAAGTAATTGTTAACAATATATCAGAAAGTAGTCATTTTTCCTGTTGTCACATTCAAATTACAAACAAAATTATCATCATAATAATTAAAAAGGTAGAATAATAATCAATCCTTAAAAGATAAACATTTGAGAAGAATTCCAAATGCATTTCCCAGCACAAAAAGTATTCCATTCTTCTACTCTATGGATCTTGCTGAACCTTTACATTCTTGCTCCTAATTTTATCACTACATCAATATCACATATAAAAATCACCATCACTTCATGTAGCATTAATGAAAAAAATAAAAGTGTCCAGATTAAAATAATTTTTGCATACAGCAATAATAGATATGCAAACTTCTGCATGTGTTGTTATCAGCGGATTTTACCAATTACGCTGCATTCCTAAAAGTTTCTGTTGCTGTTATTTTTATAAAGATAACAATATGCTCAAATATATAAGGATGGTAATGTCAGTGATATCATTTCATTTATTATAAGGCAGCAGAAGTGCTATTAGGCTTCATGCTTGTGCCAAAGAAATGCCACAACTGAAAGTTTCATTAAAATTAATACATAGAATTAGAGGTATGAATGATTAGAAAATGATTTACAACCCTTAATGCACATACTACATGATTAAAACTATGGTTGTTTATCTTTGGTAAAATCGCTTGCGTAGGAGAACATGAAATATGAAATATTCTCAAGTGCTTTAAAACAAACCTAATGAGGCCAATGACATTTATTTCTAATGAAAATGAATTATATAGTAAAATGATGAAAAATACAAATGATACTAAAAATACACATATAATTAGAATTATTATGATAGTTTCTAATGTAATTGCATCATCAAAGAACATGGATGATCAATGAAACAATAATGAATCAGCTAGAGGTGCAACTCTGCCTGGATATCAACTCTCCAATTTTGAGAGAAAAACAATCACTGTGTGATACAAAAATGAGAGAAATTAAAAAATATATTGTGTTTCTTACATTAGGTACTACACTAGAATTAATAACTAGGAATTGCTTGAGCATTCCAAACACAGCCAGTGCAGAAATCTAGAGGATAAAACCTCTTGGCATACAGTAACAATAATAATGATGGTAATGGAGATTACTCTACTAGTAAATCTCTTTTAGAATATAAAAATCTTTTGAATGTCATATCTTCAAAAGACCTGTGCAAGATCTACAGAGATTGCACTTAAAATTCTAGTCATCAACAGTCAAGATGAAAGTTCAGAATTCAAATATAATCATGCCAGATGTATGAGATGAAAATTTAAAACTACCTCCATGCACCTCTATTGAAGAAATATTGTTATCAGATTATACATTCCTTAATATGTATTAATGATAAGCAGTATGAACTATGTATTCTGAGGATAAATACTTCAATTCTTGTAATTTTCTTAACTTCATTCCTTCACTGTCATATTGCTTGCAACACCCTGACTAATTGAATGACGTTTTTGAGGACAGGTTGTCTTGTATTTTGTTTTCCTCACATACCATCCTACAACTCTCTTTCTATTGTCTTAATGTGCAAATCAGCAATGGAATTATACATCAGGTGAAGAGGCTGATTTCAAAGTCAGACTCTGAACACAATCTTGACTAAAAACATCTCTCTGACTAAATCTTCGAGGTGGAGTTAAGGGTACAGGTTTTCTTCCAATATTCTCTGCCTCTTCAACAGTGTCTGGTAATTTTGTACCAACAGTTTCTGGAAGTAGAAGAGCCAAAACTGCTGTAGCCAATGACATTCCACCAAAAAGTAGAAGTGGAAGGGCTTCCATGTACCTCGACTGCAAACAGGAGAAAGTTAAAGGATTTACAAGATAATAGTTTAACATAAGCAATGTAGTTTAGTACCAATAAAGATAGTCATAAGATTCTTTAACACTTACTAAAAGAGGAGTTTGGGGTGCAACAGTAATTCCCAAGCCACCAAACATGGAACAGGTACCAAGTAAGGAATGACGTAGTTGTGTTGGAAACATTTCTGTTGCATATACATACATCACAGTAAAGGAAATTGTAATTCCAAACTTGCCAGCCATGAATAAAACAAGTCTCATCCAATCTGCTTCAACTGCAACACATTATGTCCCTTCACATGTAACACAAACTAATACAGAAATGTGACTGAAAACTTAAGAGCATTTTGTCACAAAAATTTGCAAGGAGTTGATAAGATAAAAATACTTAGCTCTGAATACGAAAATGTAGAAATTTTGCATACAAATAAATTAAGCATATTACAAAAAATATTTATAAACTTACCATTAGCAACGAAAATGTAAGCAGTGCAACATGCTCCACTGAATGTTAAAGAGGCACAAAGTGTCATCTTTCGTCCAAACCTATCCATTCCCAGATAAGTGGCCAAATATCCAGGCAATTCAATAAGACTAACCAAGATAAAATTAAGGTACTTGTTTCCAGCGACAGTCACTGAGTTCAGAGATAAACCATAGAAGACAAACATATTAACACACCTGAAAAGAAAATCGTTTACAATGGTTGAAAATGAACTTCTGATTAAAACACTTTCTCATATTTAATCATATTTACTCTGAAATTAAGTTATTTAAGCAAGTCAAATCCATTATAAGAATAAGTACTCACGAACAACAACAACATACAAACAGCCTTAAAAGTAGAACTCGTGACTGAAACACTTCAATCAAGACATCCTTCAATGGAACACTATCTGTAGATTCTGCATCAGCCTTATCCTGATATTCAGAAAAGAAGATAATTTTGTTAATAAACCATTATTTTCAATACATTCACAAGCTTCTAGGTAGAAGAATTAGCTACTCCAAAGTCTTACACTAGTTACACTGTATCGAAAATTACAATACTGTGCACTGTCAAACTGTTTTTGACATGAAATGAATCATTCACTCTACAACAAAGTAAATTAAATGTTACTGCTATAGAAGTCAACAAAGAATAATTAATCATGCATTACACCAAATATTAAATCCTACTGAATGTTCATAATCTACTAGAAGACTTTGCAGGAAAAAAGGAGATACTTTGATTGCTGATCAGATGTCTGGTCCTTATCATTTTGTCATTTGAAAATTAAGTTGAAAGAGAACAGACGTGCTGTGAGACATGATTCAATAGCAATAGATAGGTGAATGTTACTCAATGTGTCATTATAAGTATTCATGTAGGAGGGAGGACTGTCTCGACATACGTACATGTCTTGACGTGGCTAGACAGGCAGGCGCTTACATCTTTTAAAGCAGTTTGCTGCTCTAGGGATGAAGCTGCTCTCATCATGTTCAGGTACTTGTCAGACAACACCACGCCATTTACTCGTGCTGCTTTCTGGATTATGGAATCAGCTTCATTCATGCGGCCATGAGCAATAAGCCAACGAACAGACTCTGGGAGAATCCTGGTTGAAAAACAAATTGTTTTGATAAGCAACTTGATACTCTATATGTTTGATATCATCTACTCCTCCCCTTTTCTAACTTTTGTCTCAATGCACTTCCCTCCAAAATGTAACAGTTTTAATGTGATTTCATATTAAATAAATATGATTCATTATATTAAGTGAGATTATTTTTGCTATATTATTTAATTAAGATATTACAGAACTCCAGAGAGATCTCAACAGCATATTTGAAAAGCCCAAAAAAAGAGCATTCTTTTAAAATAGAGTTTGTTTCAATTTCCATTATCAAAAAATAAAATCACATTTTCAATTAACTCAATCCATAAGCTTTGAATATAACTCTACTAAAGAATTACTACTAAAGAAATCTAGTAAAGAACATATATATGTATATGTGGAAATCAGATTATTCGGTATTGTTAAAGAAACATTCACTCAAGCATAATTTTAAAAAAGAATTACAATTGTGAGAAAACTTCAAAATACCACAAATGGACATGGCCAACACCTCTTTTGACTGACGACTAAATGTGCCTTTTTGCAACTCCTTCAATTTTTTTGTGTCGACACACACGCTTTCTGCTTCCTCAAGCGAAAAACCCAAAAAGCATTGATCGGATTCCCACATATACGACCAATAAAACTACATATGTTTGCTGATGTTATTATAGAAAGTTTCCTGTCAGAATTAAATTCATATTATTCATTAAATGGTTAAAACAATGTAAAAAAGAATTATAATTTTTGTTATTATTTGTATTAACATGAAAAATATCTTTATTTTGTTCCATATTAATCCAATAAAATTTCACAAAATATTAAGAACTTAAAAAATGCATATAAGTATTTGAAATAATTACCAAAAATACAATAAGAGAAAGATAGCTGGTCCATAAATGACTCTCAACATCCATCTCCAGTATGGCACAGCCCAAGCAATTAGTCCTAAAAAGACTTCTCCTAGTCCATTGTAGGCACTGATGATAGCTCCCCCTAGAACACGTTTCTCAGGACCTACGAGCTCCATTCCTACAAGAAAGTGTTGTTGCAGCATAATAAGATAATCAATTATGATTTTTTAAATTATTACAAACATTATATTTATGCTTACAAGTTCTAAAAGGTACATTTTATTATTACCTAGAACAAAAGCAGTCTCATAAATACTTCCTCCAAGTGCCATGTCAAGAAATTCCCATAGCAGAAATACCTCATAGTTGTTAGCAAATGAACGAGCAAGTCCAGAAAAACAAGCTAAAGATATAGCACCAAGAAGAACTGCTTTCCTTCCAAACCTGCAATAATTGCATGAAAATTCAAACATTTAAATTATCTAATTTAACTCAAATTTCTTCCAGTAGCATAACTGAAATGTATTGTTTTAGACACAAATGCATAGTCTTTAGGATAAATTTACCAGAAACAACCATGTTTCCGCAACTTCCGCAACAATTTTCTTTAAAAATTTAATGAAAATCTCACCTGTCAGAGGTATATCCAGCTATAGGGGTAGTAACAAAATAGCCAATACTGTTCACTGTTCCAACAAGAGTCAATTTCCATTGATTTTCATCACATGTTATGTCCCACTAAAACATAAAGCAATTATATATAATCAAGGCATTTAATTATATTGAAGATTAACATTTATTTGACATCTAAATACCTCACTAGCAATTGTAGATTCGTCTCTTTGATACACCCATTTATTACATCGTATTGTTGTATTAAGGAACATTTCTGCAGGGCAAGAAACAGAATGAGGAGAATATGATGTGATGTTTTCATTTGCAGGCTCATATCGTAGACATCGACTAGGAATCCTATGACTTGCTTTTCCTTCAAAAGGCACAGCATTTGCTATCCAAGGTGGCATGTATTGATTTCCTGAGTCTAAACACTCTGGTATATGACACCTGAAAAGTAAATCTAATTAAGCAGAGATAAACACCAATTTTCTTATTTTTCTTTTATGAGAAGTGATAAAACTTTGAAATTATGACTTTGCTATGATTATGCTATTTTTAAAGATTCTCATTAAAATTCAAGCAAACTCCTAACAAATTTACAGTTATTTTACTTGCAATCTGATCTGAACATTGTAATATGAAATATTTATTCTCAGACCATCACATAATATACATCGGTGGTGGCTCGTGCTTACGTTGCGCGGGAGCGCTCAGATAATAATAAAATACTTTCATATGTTTGTTGATTCATTATTTGGTTTTCTGGGCGAGTCAAGCAGGTAAGGTGTAGTTCCGTAAGTGTAAATAGCGCATGGTTTTATCACAGGAGGGGGCGGTGTTCTTCCCGAGCAGCAGAGCGACATCCGACGCCGTCCACTTCGGCGGGGCGGTCCACTTGAGGGGTTTCCCCCATCCAGGTATTTCCCACCAGTGGGGCTCCGTCCCAGCAGGACAATCTCTAAGCTCCCAACTAGTTTCACGACATGCATGATAATGAAGTGCGTGTTGGTGTAAGAGTGCGTAAGTAAGGGTTGAGATTAGGTCAAGGAAGACGAAAGAAAGATCGCGCGCGATCTGAAGACCGTTTGTTAGGGTTCTGCTCCGGCATTCGCCTGGTGTTGACCCGAAAAACTATAGAAAACTGCTGATCACAGCAGCCGACCGGTAGAATTCTCCAAACAGCGGCTGAGTTCGACCTAGCTGTCTAGCTAGAGTTGAAAATCCTACCACCGGCGGAACCCGGCAGACGTATTCATTCGAGATTCAAAGAGATTCGAGATGAGGTTTTTACTCTTTCATAATTTCTAAGTGCATCAACGACTTGGAAGTTAAATATATGCCACCATTTTTGAAGAATCTGGGTCTTGAACTTGTTCAAACACTTGAATTGGTTCTTTTGATGAACCTTCCAAATTTCACACCTCACAGCCGCCCATATTCCACTACTGCCTCCTGATAGTTCTACGAACCTGTAGTCGAGGTCTCCTGCGGTGAAAACGTAGCTGGTCCCTGAGATTACGGTGAAAAAGATTGGCAGACTTATGAGCAGGTAGGAGGTGATCTGGTACTTCCCAAACTGGCCGACCTCTTCCAGGATCTCGTCGAGGTCGACCGCGCTGGCCGACGTCTCCGCCATTTTGCGCTCCCGTGACTGCACGCTGCGAACAGACATCCACACACATTATAGTCATCATCAGTAGGCCCGAATTCCCAGGAGGGCGAATTTTTAAAAAAATGCTACTTTCGCCATGTTTAGGTTTATTTATTTACTTACGTCAAAACAGTTAAAAACTGTGTGTAACGTGCTATGAGGAGAAGTTAAACTGAAGTTACATTTATGTCCAGAAACAAAACAAGGGGCCATCTCAGCATTTACTCAAGGATCAGGGAAACTGGACGAAAACTTGATCAAGGTGGGGGTAATTGACCCAGAAGCTGAAGTACAATACGTGTTACAGGTAGAATTATACAATCCAAATGGTAAATAATACACTAAACGTCGTTGTTAAAAGTAATATTACTTTCCTTTTGGATACTCGCTGTAGTTTCTAATTATATAGAAACAGTTGAGCAGCAGAAAAAAATTTTACTTTTACCAAGCTCTAGGGCGTAGCTTGTGAAGAGTCAAGGGAGGCTATCTTTCCATTGAAATAAAATTAAAGGAAAACATTAATAGAACATAGTACAAGCATTTCTATTATAAAACATTTCGTGGACTTACAAGGAGGAGGTATTAATCACACAATCATGGAATTAGTGACCTGTAGAAGTGAACTACGTTTTTGCAGTAGGATTTTGGGGAGAGAGATTTCTGAAGTCTTCATTTCTAAGTTAATAACATTTATTTATCAATGAAGCCTCCAGAATCAGCTTCAATTACGAATCTTCTACAAAGTGGAAGGCATAAGTCGCGCTTTATCAGCGCATTACCAGCAAAGAAAAGAGAAATCCTCGTGAGGAGACATTTAGATCCGTATTTTCAAACTAAATTTTCAGTAACAAAAGTTTGCGTGTGAATGGCAGTTAAGTTGGAACAGGGAGTCTGAAACCCAACGCCGAGTCTCCAATATGGACGTATGGACTTAAATCTAGCTGGGCTAAGCACTCGTCCGGGAGCATCTCAGTACGCTGTGAATCGAATGCTTAGATTTTACGTTCCTGAGGTTACACCATCGAGGTTTGACGTTCACTAAGGCAATTTCCTTGCTGTAATTCCATCTGGTTTAAGCCGCTCCACGAGTAGTGAAGAACAATACTTAAAAGGGCAGGAAAAAAAGAACAATTGTTCGATTTTTTTAGGTACGAGGAATGAGGAGACATCCATAGGAGGTTTACACAAAATGGAGGACAGTGCTGTACTGCGAGAAGAAGTGTTTAAGAGAGAATCAAGATGTTGAAAAATGATCGGTGGAGCATGATACATTCAGAGGGAGGAAGAAACCACTGACAAGCGATTAACCAAGCATAGAACCAGCGAGAGACTGACTATAAGGTAGCATGTACATGTAAAATAGAAAATAAATAGTATTGTATTTATTATTTACACATTATTGATAGTGTTACTGCAATATTATATTGGAAAGTAAACGAGAATGTTTTACAACGTTACATCACGTTTCAGATCTTTTAACCCAACTGGTGGGTAGCAGGAAACCATTTTACTTTTAAAATCAATGCCATGCGTCAGCTGACATTCCAATAGAAAGAGGTTCCAGGATAACCGGAATCAGAGTGCTTATCACTATTAAATCCGGAACTGGAAACTAAAAGACACCATTGGCAGTCTGTGAGTAATTGCGAAATACCGTGTAAACACTTTCAAGCAGTGGTCCAGCTGGAACATAGGTCATAAGGATCTTTCACTGTGTGATCTGTCCTTAAGGGTAACATTGAAAATTTAGAAACCACAGACAAATTCAAAACAATTTCATCGTTATCGATAGAAAAAAATACGATAATATAAAGTATTGAATGTGCTATCAAATAAAATGAGAGTTTTTGAAAAGTCTCTACCAAATTTGTGATCAGAAAACGGTCGTATGAGTGAGGAACAGAAATTGATTTTGCATTGGACACAGATTCTTTACGGAGGAAAGTGATGAAATTTTACCCACACTTCTTCCACCTCAGTACAGAAAAGTTGTATATATAACATTAATTACTGTTAATTTGTCTTTTATACAAATCTTGAATACTAAACCGATCTGAAAGAATTTCAAGATTATAGCATTGATACCAGAAGTGCTAACAGCCTCAGAATTAATATTACAAACTTCCAGAAGTCATTTTGGAGTGATCGAATATAGTCACTTTTGCCAACTGACATTTTGATTGGAAATTTTTAAAGGAACAAATCGTCGAAGCCAATTACAGTAATTCATACGAACAGCCCGATAAGAAACCTTAATCTCCCGAGATAGCTGTCTGAATGCGCGCATTTTCAATTTTTTTTCTGGTTCCGTACGATTACATTGATACTGAAGTTTCATTAATGATGTTTTCGAGGAAACTGAAAGAACATCCTGAACTTCCTAGTTTTTGCTGCGCGAGCAATGTATTTCGGCGACTGCTATTCCGATAAAAAAACCTATCTCGCGATAGCACTTCATCAACATAAATATGGTACTCTTGTTCGGAATAGACGCAGATAAAAAGTTTTCTCTAAAAGACTGCGTCCAGAAATACTTCTCCACCACAAATCTATATGGCTCTCTGCTGAGGAACATCGCAAGCTAACTTCAAACCATTGAATGAAGACTCAGCCTGTTTCGCTTTGAGCAGGTATGACGCAAGGAAGGGGTGGTGAGTGGACTGTCGCAGAAATAGTCAAAAGCAGGGGAGACCAGAAGGAGGGCAGCTGAAGTAACTTGCCCCAGGCCCCGACTTAATTATTAATTATAATTATTATTTTTTGTAATGAGAGGCCCAATGGATCAACTCTCTAAAGCTCTTGGCTTTCTCTGAAGAATTGCAACTTTGCAACTTTGCAATTGCAATTGCAACTTTGCAATTCTTTCAGTTATTCCTCCTCCTTTACAAATCGCTGAAAATGTGCATATTAACGGCGTGAGAGACCTTTCAAATAAATCATTTGTGTAATTTTCAAAAAAACAAAAATACTCCGAAATTAAATTTATGCCATAATAAAGAATGCAATTAGCACTATATGTTCGAAAAGTTTGAAGAAAAAAATTAGAGCCGTTTATGAGAAAATGGTGTTTGAACGTTTCTGAAAATGCGGAATTTTCAACTAGTTTTCACGCAAAACGGTTGAGTTTTCGAGAAACTTTATATGGTAATACTTAAAGCACATGTATTCTCAATGTAAATACTAGCGACGTGAGAGAAAAGATCAAAACATTTCATTTTTGTAATTTTTGAAAAAGCAAAAGAATAGAGCGATATGGCGTTTATGTCATTTTATAGAGTACCAGAACAGATCGATTTGGCACTATTATTACCAAAAGTTTAAAGAAAAAATTTGGAGCTCTTTTTGAGAAAATCTTTTTGTTATTTTGTAAAATTGCACATATGCTCCCAATATTGCGTGAAAACTACTAAAATTTTCAAAAAATGTCCATGATCTCAAAGAAAGAACTAACTATGGAGAATAAATTTCATTTGAAGGAAAAATTTTAATATTCAATATTGTAGTTGTAGGAAGACGCTGAAAGAATCAGTCTTTTGCACTTTCGAAAATTTAGAGTTATCAGTGAAAATCGGACCTATGCTTCCTTGATAAGCGTGATCTACTCTCTTATAAGAAATTTATAGAAACAATTTGGAGCCATTTTTGGGAAAATTTTGAAAATATCTGGGGGGCTTCATGTAAGGTACCACAAATTTTAAAAAATGTTTTGCAAAATCTCAAAGCTTCGACTCAAGCCAGATGGACAGGGGTTTCTTCAATTCAAAAAAAATTCTATGCGTGGTTTAGCCGCTTGTAGTGTTCACACACGGCCACACAGATAAACGTATGGACAGACGGACGTTTTCAAAAACAAAAAAAACTACAGTTTGTCGGTATCTGGGGACTTTATTAAACATAAGAAAAAGTAGTCCGTACTGTAAAACATTTTTTTTTCAGTGAACTTCCATTACAAAATGTTTTTAAAATCTGTATTTACAGTGAAAACTACTTGTTGTTTAAGTTACAGAATTTTGTGAGGGATCCAATTAGTTGTGCCGTGAAACAATATTAAGTGCGCATTCGTGTCGGTTAACTGAGCTGCATCACCAACAATCCCGACCTAGTATTTTGGCAGTTATCAGTTTATTGCAAATTAATGTATACGGTAGTAAAATGAACGTTCCACGAGTTGCACGTATCGTAGTCTATAATGTATGGTGCTTCTGGGTATAATTAGGAAACAGATTGTTCCGTGTCACCACATTCATTTTCTTTCTGTTGTGGGCCCAACCAAATCATTAATTCAATTCTGTCGACCCATGTTGCCCTCTATCTGCCCTTCCACTAAACAACTTACTCCTAATTCTGCTGTTAAATATGCAAACGGCGAACCACTGTCATTGTAAAACTCAATGTTAACGGAAAGGTAATTTTCAACGAGCCACGTGTATTTCCATATTTGAATTACACTTTGCTTGAAACACATTTCGTACTATAAATTGAGTTCTGTTCTGTGTTAAAGGGAGGAAGTGAAATTTTGCTGTTACGGCATCAGTAGTGTTATTGCGAGACAGCGAACATGACAATTTATTCTTGACACATGGAATTTTTCTCCGGTTAATATTATATTAGTTTGTATAAGAATGATTCAGTTTGTTAAAAAAACCACCAGGGAAAGTAGTATTTCAATATTTAATTTACATCGTATTAAAGATTTGCATCACGAGCCCCGATGTCTTCTAAGTTTTAAATTGCTTGAATATAATGAAATTCAGGTAAAAAAATACTCAATAGTTAAACCAGACCCCAAAGTATCTTACTGACATAAACTAAATCAGGATTGATACGAAAATCTCAAGTGCGATTTGTGTAGGTCGGCGCCGGATCTCACCATCCATCCAGCGAAGGTCACCGCCACCTCTCGTAATAAGGAAGTGCACCACGCTTGCGGGACTAATAAACATAATTATTGACGCGACTAGAAACACGACATAATGAATCAACCAATCATCATTCACACTTCATAAA